CTCAATCTATGTTGTTAGGTAAATGTTAGAAAAATCTTTTGAAAAATATTAATGTATCCTTAATTCTTCTTTTTCAAATTTACCCCAATAACCATGTAGAGATATTATTGCTTAAAATAAAGTAAATTTCCCAAAGGATATTTGGAAAGTTTAGTCTTTTATTTCCTTCTAATTAAGCCATTATTTAATTTTCTTAATCTGTGTACAATTACACTTCCCTAAAACGTCATCTTTTTTGAAAAAGATAACTAGGTTTCAAATCAAGTGTTGTTTGTTGGAGATGATTACAATTTACACATTTTCTATGTTAGCTCAAGATACCTTTGTGAGTTGGGGAATTGCATAGTTTTAGTGGATAATTTGTTACGCAATCATTATTGTATTTGTATCTGTTAACTACCAATTGGCAGTTTAAAGTAAGACTAGCTCAACCTCGACAGTACGTATTATCTGCAGAAACAATCCCTTCCTTGGACTGCCGTTTATGCTGATCATTAATTGTTAATCGGGAGCTGAATATGTTTCCACCCGTGATGTCATCTTCAAAATTGAACTCCTTTTCGCATTGCTTTAAATTAAGTTCATTGTCAGTGACCTGAGAGGTTTATTGGTATTTTTAAAAAAATAAAAATTAAAGATTTTAAATTCAAGTAAATATGGATTAGTACTCTATAACTTGAGAGTTGAAAGTATGATTCCAAACTTGATACTCATGTACTGTGCAGTCTTGCCATTCATAGCTCCAGATAGAGAGGCTCGAGTTTTGCTGATTAGTACTTTGCAACTTAGTCAGCAAAGAGGTGCATTCTCAACCATTGTTGATTGGGATTCTTTTTTTAAAAAAAAAACTATAAGAAGGTAACTCTTAATATTATATTCAATTAATTAAAAACGATATAAAAAAATTATTCTAGTTTAGATCAACTTAGTTTAAGCTAAAAAATTATCAAAAGTATTATTAATGAATCAAATGAATTAAAGTTTTTGCAACTAATGCGAAATCAATACCATTAGGAAAAGAGAAGATAAAAAAAAAAAGAAAAGAGTGAAAACCATGCCTTTTTATGGTATATATACCTTTTTTTTTAAATTTTTTTGTTTCCGTTGATCTTTCTTTGTCATTACTTCTTTTTCTTAAAGAAAAATGAACGCACGAAAAGATTGCAAAACCTTGTTGCTCAAGTTGATAATGTCATCAGTCAAACTCGTATTATACTTTTTTTCAAAGGAACAAAAAAAATCAAATGCAACTCCACTATGAATAATTTGAATAAAACAGAGATGAGAAAAACTTGGAAGCCAGGGCCAGGAGATGCCTTTAAATCTTTTATTATGTCTTTCCTCTGACCCTCAACTTTCCCCTTCTTTCATTTTCACAATTAGAAACTATATGCCTCAAAAAACAAAGAACAAGAAGAAAGTTCCACCGAAGAAACAATGGCCAGATCTTCCTAAAATGCTCCTCGACATAATTGGGAAGGATTCAACTCTGATGCGGAACATCGTCTGTGAAGGTGTAACCCAGTCATGGAGAGCAGCGGCAAAGCAGTGCAACTCAAATGCATCTCTGCCGTGGCTTCAACTCTTTGATGATCACTTTCAAGTTCCTCGCAATTATGGTGATGTTACCCAACCTGCTGATCAATTCAACATATCATTTCATCGAGGGTACACTTACTCGTCTTGCAGATGGCCATCTCAAGGTCCCTGGAATTATTTCCTTGGCTACTCACACAATGCATTGGTGACTAGAGGAACTTCAGATTACATCTATCTTTGGTATCCAGATCATGGAAATTATTATTGTTGTCTCCCAGAATTCTATCCCAAAGTTCCGTTTATGAGTGTTGTAATATATCCTTTGAATGAAGATCCTTCGACTAGGCATTGTACTGTGATGGTGTTGACAGGAACTAGCCATCCAGCATTTGTGTACTACACGTTGAGAGGAAAAGGAAAGGTACCAGGATGGGTGAAGCAAGACTGCATTCTGACTGATCCTCATTGCCAGAACAGTCAGGAAGTGGGAAACTTCTGCAATCCACCAATGCTATTGGATTCAAAGGAAGGTTCTATGCTTTAAGTCTGCAAGGGACAGTTGCTGAGATCATTGTTGATGATGAGTTTAATCTGAGAATCAGAGCTCTGAGTTCGAAAAGGGCTGTTCCTAGTGTGTACTCGAAGCATTTCACAGAATATTTGGTCGAATCTGATGGCAGGATTTTGTTGGTCTTTCTCATATCAAGAAAAACAACAAATGTTGTGGATGATGTAGAAGTATTCCGCCTTAATATTGAAGATCTCTCATGGGAGAAGATGGGGACTCTTGGGGAGAAAACATTGTTTCTGGGGACTAATTGTTGCATGTTAGTCTCTTCAAGCAAAGCAAGATGCAGTAGAAACTGTGTCTATTTTTCCGTTAACACAAATGATGGTTGGCGGGAATTTGACATGGAAGAGGGAAGCATATTACCTGCCTGGAAGGCTGCCATGCCCAGGACAGAGTTCCCTATTTGGATAGAGCCAGTTCCGCAAGAATGATTGTCAATCTTAAAGAGTAGTGTCAAAATTTTAAATCAAGAATTAGTCTGTGTTGACTTCAATTATAATCTCCCCAAAATGAGATGCAGAAGATTTGTGTTAAACAATTTAGAATTGGATTCAGTTTTCATAACAATAAAATTGCAGAAATTGCCTAAAAAACTATCTAATCCCATTAATTTTCAAGTTAGCAACCCAGAAATCAGCACAAATTACTAATAAACAGAAATTTTAGTTGCACAAATTGACAGCTTAGAGCCGACCACGTGATACCACATTAGTAAATTCAAAGTGGGATGCCAAGTATCCAGTAATCTCAAACAATAAACACGCTTGTTTAATTTCAGAATTAATATATATAAGTTTTACATTAAAATTAGCGAGAGACATTGACAATCAGTGAACCAGGTTTGTTGGTTCTGATGACGGAGTGCTAGGGATATCATAATTGGGAATAGGCATCCTGCTTGGTAGATTTGGTAGTGCTGCCTCAAAATTAAGCACCTTAATTGCTTGCTTAATTGACGGTCTCATACTTGGGGGAGGATGCACACACCATAACCCAACAATTGGCAAACGCTCCATTTCTTTCACATTAAAATCTGCAGAGAGTTTCTTGTCAACTACACCAAGAAGCATTTGGTTCCCACATGCTTCCCAAACCCAATCCACTAATGACGCCTCTTGCTCTTCATATGTAGACTCTATTGACTTTCTACCACAAGCAATTTCAAGTGCCACAACTCCAAAACTATAGACATCTGACTTCTTGCTTGCCTTACCTGTTGTGTAACACTTAGGAACCATGTAGCCTATGGTTCCGGCCAACAAAGTTGTTTGTGATCCTTTTTCATGTTCCACAAGCCTAGCTAACCCAAAATCCCCTAGCTTAGCATTGAAAGCTGAATCTAATGTAATATTACTTCTTTTTATGTCTCTATGTAGTACACAAAAATCTCTTTCTTCGTGTAGATACAACAATGCTGATGGTAATCCTTGCACAATTTTGTACCTAATCTCCCACGATCACAAGCTCCTTCCTTTGAAGAGATGGTAATCTAGGCTACCATTAGGCATAAACTCATAAGCAAGCAAGAGTTCCTTTTCAGGACACCATCCAATAAGCTTCACCAAATTCTTGTGCCTCAATCGACTAATAATCTTTATTTCTCATACATGCCTCTTGATCCCTTGTTCAGACGTGCTCGAAACCCTTTTAATTGCAA